CAAAGTGAAAGAGTACTGAACTGGATTAAAAAAATCTACATACTAACTAGAAACACATCTTAAACATTAATTTTAAAAATGTTAAAAGGGTGGAAAATATGTAAATATTAACCAAAATTATATTAGTATTAATAGTATATGTTAATATCAAATTATATTTTAATGCAAAGATCATTACTACAGCTAAAAAAAAAGATACATCATAATAATAAAAAATTCAATTCACAAGGAAGACACAGTGATTATAAAACTTGTATGCATCTTATAATGTAGCTTTAAAAATATGAAGCCAAGGAGCCCCTGGGTGGCTCAATCAGTTAAGCGTCTGACTCTTGATTTTGGTGCAGGTCATGACCTCAGGGTCATGAGATCGAGCCCTGCATTGGGCTCTGTGCTCAGCAGAGAGTCTGCATGAGATTCTCTCTCTCCCTCTCACTCTACCTCTCTCCCCTGCTTGCTCTCTCTCTCTCCCAAATACATAATTTTTTTTAAATATGAAGCTAAGATTGATAAACCCACAGGATGAAGTGAGCAGATAAATGAGTAAGGATACAGATTATTTGCACATAATTAGCAAATGACTTAACGGACATATATAGAATATTGCACACAACAATTACAGAATTCGGGTTCCTCAAATATTTATGACTCTCTACCTTCCAAGAAAATAATAGGATTGAAATTCTCTGTTTCATTTTATGTTAGGTGTGTCCATAGGACTTGTTTTGGTCAATGAAATGTGAACAGAAGTACTTTCTAGGTGCTAGTGTATTAGTAAAGGTATCTCCTTTTTCTTTTCTTTTTTTAATATTTTATTTATTTGACAGAGAGAGACACAGCGAGAGAGAGGGAACACAAGCAGGGAGAGTGGGAGAGGGAGAAGCAGGCTTCCCACCGAGCAGGGAGCCTGATGCAGGGCTCAATCCCAGGACCCTGGGATCATGACCTGAGCCAAAGGCAGATGCTTAACGACTGAGCCACCTAGGTGCCCAAGGTATCTCCTTTTTCCTTCCTGACAGCAGAGTTCCGGATTTCCTTGGCCTCTTTGAGCTCTGGGTCCTTGATTAAGGATGATATGGAGCAGAGTTCCCCAGCCAACCTGAAAAGGGACAAGTTGATGTTCATTAATGAGAAATAAACCTTTGTTATTTTAAGTCACTGACATTTGGGGATTAACTATAACCACAGTATAACCTAGTCTATCCTGACTAATACAGGTATAAAAAATGGAGGACCTTTTTTCAGGCACAGAGGTGAGCCTATCTTGAAAGAGTATGGCCTGATGAATTCCTAGGAATCCACTATGGCTGAAGCTCCAGGGAGGTGGGGGTGGGAACAAGGCTGGTAAGGGAGAGCAGCTCCCATGAAGAGCCCTAAGTAAACTGGTTGGAAGCAAGTTTGGAAGGGCTTTGGATTTAACAATAAGGAATAGATACTGTCCTGGAAGTTGAAGGATCTCCGCAAGTTGGTGACTGGTTGAATATTGCTAGTAATGGAGATGATAAACTAGAGAGAATCTAACTGATGTGAAAGGAGGAAATCAGGTAGAGGGCTATTCTCAGTGAACACGTTCCAGGGTTATTTTTCCAGTTCCTAGAGATAGCCATTATTAGAATTTGGTGACAATTTCTCCAGTCCTTGCATGCACATGCAAACACACACATAAACCAATTTAAAAACATGAATCACATCAATCATACTCTACCTGCTATTCCAAAATTTTTTCCCAGTTAATAATATCTTCATGGTTATTTTCTGTGTCATCTTTTGTTTCTTTCCTTTTGACTGAATCGCTAATATATGGCTGTGCTAGAATTACATAACTATTCCCCTACGGACAGATATTTAGGTTGTTTCCACTGTTACAATGCCTCAGGGACCATCTTGCTAATAATGTCCATACCTTGTTTATCTCTTCTTTCTACAGACAGTTGAGACCAATTTTGCCACTATTTGAATGGTGACAATTTTAGGCTGGGTCACAGGAGCACAACCAGGCTGGCCATTTGAGGTGACAATTTTGGTTAAGGGTATGCCTCAGATATACCCAGAATAGGGTCTCGAGCATAGCGAGCACTCACTAAGTATTTGTTGAATGAACGAACAAATGAATCCACATCCACTGCAGACGTGTGTCGGGCCTGCCCTGCCCTCATCTATAACAGAATTTCTCAACCTCAGCACTACTGACTTTGGAGGCTACCTTTTGTTGTGGGGGCTGTTCTATATATTGTAGAATGTTTAGCAGCAATCCTGGTCTCTACCCTCTAGATGCCACTAGCACGACCCCGGTTGCAGCAACCAACTCTGTCTGTAGAAATTGCCAAATGTCCCCTGGGAAATAAATCACTCCCAGTTGAGGACCATGAATTTATAACATGGGTTGTACTTGTGTAAAGGCAAAGGCCCTTTCTCAAAACAACCTACTCTATAGAGGTTGACCCTCCTTCCAATGCTGCCATACTACCAGGGCCCTTCTTCTTGGGTTCTCAGAGTCCTTTCATAGAGAGTCTACATTGTTCTTGGTTCAGACGTCATTTCCCTAGGGCCACCTTCCCTGCCATTTCCTTCAGGAAATGGGTCCATCCTCATTATTTTTTTGTCAGTCTCCATTCTACATTCTCTATTCACCAAATGCCCCTCCTTAGTAGTACTTACCAAAGTTGAATTTTAGGGTTATTTGAGTAATTATTAAATTAAGCTCTTTGCCTCACTCAGCTCCCCAGAGGTAGCCACAAGTAAGAATCTGGCATGTAACATGTCAGTTTTTGCTCATGATGTTTCCATCTAGTGCTGGAAACAATGCCTGACATACAGTAGGTGCTCAATTCTGTTGGATGGACGGACAACAATTTGTTATCAGTTAGCCATGGCCAGCTCAGGGTACAATGATCTTCAACCATCTGTGTTCCTGTGCCTTCTGAAACAATTCTGAAACAATTCTGAAAAATGTTACCTATACCTACATTTTAAAGTTGATATGTTACATGTTCATCATTAGGTTCATTTGGCTTCAAGATAATAGCTTCCAGCATAATGTAAATATTGGGAATGAAAAATTAAGCTGTACCACCATTCTTTAAATATACCTCTTAATCTCTTATTATTTCTAATATTCCCTATGATTTGCCTTCACAGTGCTTTCTTTCAAAATCAAGGAATAGAAGAAATGAGTTTTGTTAAATAAAAAAAAATGCCTTAATTAATCATGAAAGGAAGCTGAATTAAATTTATAAAGGAAGTTTCCAGTTTGGAGAACCTGGACCTGGAGATACTTATATTTGGAGCAACTGCCCCTTAGTAAGATTTGTGGAGTGAGGGGTATGCTTTCCAGTAGGGGAAGGATTATTACCAACACAGACACTTTCTCAGGCAAATCAGTTTAGGAAACGGTGCCTAGAGAAACTGAGAATATGGAAGCCAATTCTCTGAAAATAATCCTTGCCCCTTCTGAAGTTTTGACCACCATCCTGGGAGTAATGCCGCAGAGTGGCCTGAAGGGGTCAGTGTTGGACAAGCTGATGGACTCTGTCACTGGCACTCCCCTTTTCCGGAGAGAAAAGGCCAAGTCCACCTAGATGCAGTGGGGAGCCCGGGCGGGGGCGGCCTGGCCCAGTCCTGTCCGGTGTGCATGTGTTCACACTGTGAATTAGCCATAGGAGACCGGTTCCCAGGAGAATGGAGGCTAGAGATTCTCCCTCCTGTATCTAGAATCAGGGTCTGGGACTGTAAACAGATGAAAATCTCTTTCTCTCTCTGCTTCAAGAACTGGGTTTAGGAAAGAAATTGAGGAGCGAAGTCATGCATCTATATCAACTGTGAAGATTTTTTATTTTCCTCTTAGGAAATGAAAACAAGAGTGAAATCTCAGTTATTTATAGTTCAGCAGACAGTAAGCAAAGGGGCCAAACACTCCGGCTCTGGAATCAGATAGATGAGGAGGGCTCAGATCTCTCCTCGGCAAGCCCACCTTTCCCAGCCCCTGCTTCTCGGCCTGTCCCATCGGAACCACAGTCCCTTTCACAAAGGGCTGCCGGCAGGAGAGACGAGCCAGCGCAGGGAGAGGGCTCGGCATAGGAATGGCATGTAGCAAGAGCTTAATAAGTTAACAGTGATGATGGTGAAGATGATGATACAGCATTTGTCAGGCATGAGTGTTTCAGAACTTTCCATTCATGTCTGAAGAGGAAAAACCGGAGGTGAAAAACCAAGACATTAAAAGGTTTTAAGTTTCATAAGCCTAGGAGTTAGAAGCAGAAACAGCAGGATTGGGGGAGCGGGGAATCAGGGCGCTTCAATGCTACAGGCTGGCTCTGTTCCTGCACTTTGCTCCTGACCGCCTCCCAGGCCTGAAGGTCCCAGCCGGTGCTGAGAAGAGGGTCTCGATGTCTAAGATAGTGTGTATGTGATGGCCATATCTATGTTGACCGTATGACAGGTCCACCGGCCTCAGACAGAAAAGTAATGGCATTGCTCATTATATGTATCCTCTGTGAAACCTCATGGTGGGGGGGGTGGGGTGGAACTAGCTGACCTAAAATTAGTAATGACTAATTGCTGGGATATATGGAAAGTCAGGTCCAGAGCAAGGCCCCCAGAGTTCTGCCTTATACAGGGAAAGGTAACAGGGACTAGTTCAGCGAGAGGCATGGAGACAACTTGGATAAGATACCGGTCCTTTCACCTGGCAGCTCTCCAGCCTCCAAATAGCTTTTGTGTCCCGTCCAAAAATAAGATCACATGAGAGGGGAGAAATAAATACACAAGTGCTTGTCCTTGGGCTTTCTGTGGGTACACCAGCATCAGCCGCACTGCTGGAGGCCCGGAGGGGGTGGCCTCCCAGCATACTTGGCTGCCTCTGTCTTTAGGCTCTCGGGGCTGGGAAAACAACCTGTATCAGGGTGGGTGTGGTGTGTGCTTTGCACTCAGCCCTCCTCTTAGGACTCCCTTGAGCTCCATTCACACCGAAGAGGGAGCAGGAAAGAGAGGATGAGCGAGCAAGCCGAACCAACAGCCTGACTCCAGGGGAATGAGGGCCTCATCTCCTTTTGGGGAAGGACACTCCCTTCTGATGGAGAATGGGAACTCCCTCCCGCAGCGGCCTGCCTGCTAGCTCCAGCTAGCTCAGTGTGGACTCCATAGGCTGCTGAGGCCTCGCCTGCGACCCTCACCCCGTAAAGAAAGTGCCTCAGAGCCAAAGCGAAGAGGTGAGTGCATTCCTTTCCCCAAGGGGCTCAGTACTGCAGATGTTATGCTTGGCTTCATGCTCCTGCCCAGCACGAATGCTCTCCCCTGCCCTGCTTCTGCCTCTTCTCCCTGATCTGGGACCGTGGCAGGCTGCAGTCTCCGTGAAGGATGCTAGCTTCAAATACCTGTACTCTCTTCTCTCATTTAAGGCCAATTTGCTCCCAGAAAGAACTGGCTAGGTCTAGTTCTTAGCGGGGAAGCAGGAAATGATTCCCACCAAGTGAATTATCTTTGCTGAGATCCAAGAAGATGTTTTCCAAGAAATCATTAGACAAATCCCATTATAGTAGAATTAATGCTTAGTTTTAAAAAGCCCTGCATGACATAGGAAATAAAAGGATGTCAGCTCATTCCTTATTATTGGGCAAAAGGGAAAAAACACATACGGGATGTGCAGAGCTTCCTCTCCCCTCACGCCTTCCACACCTCATCCTGGCTTCTTAGAACCCTGCAAAATATACTTAACAGATCCTCGTTTCTTTGGCTAAGAACAAGAGGAATAAAATGGAGGGTTTGGGGAGAATTGCTCTGTAGGCAGAGTCACAGGACAGAGAAGACAAATTTCGTAGAGTCTTGGTTTCCCCTCCCAAGCACATGACAGGTACCTGTGCCCGTATGGGGATGTGTGCAGATGTCACCATCACTTGCACATGCCTAACACTAACCCTGTTACAGACCCCGCCTTGACTATGGACCACAAATATCTGTGCTAAGAAGAAGTCAACAAAATGTAGGTGGGAGCAAGGTAACTACTCCAATGAATCAGGATGCTTTTAGTGACAGTAGACTGAAACCCATTTTGAAGAGACTTGGGCCGAAACGAGGAAATCTGTTTCCTCATGTAAGCGAAAAGGCTTTGGTATGGCGGGATCCAGGCGCCCAGATGATGGCATCCTGACTCCACTTCTCGGCTCTGCGGCCCTCAGAACCCCAGTCATTCTATCCCAGGAAGACTCGCCGACGGCAGTGGTGAAATGACAACCAGCGGCGCCAAGCTGACACCCTCCTGGCCCAGCCACCCTAGAAGAACAGCCACTTCCCATTCCCAAGAGTCTAGAGTCTCAGAGTCACATCTTTCTGAACCAATGTGGGCACCGTGCCCATCCCTGCCCCAGGGGTGTAGTCATCCCCACCCAAAACCACATGGACTGAACGCAATGAAGGGCTGGGTCCCCAGAGATAACCAGGGTGCTAGTCCTTGGAGAGGGGGCTGGATACAGGGCAGCCACGGTCAACGTGGGCCACTCCATGTTGCTCTTTTTGTGATGGTCTGGATTAAGAGTTCAAGTTCCTCCAACATAACTCCTCCTCCTCCTCTCTCTTACAGTCCACAAAATTAGTGACAGCAAGTCTCATAATAAGGATAATTATTAGAAGTGACTAAAAGACCCCATGGCATCTCATTCCTAGAGACCCCAGACCATGGAAAAGCCACCAGAAGGCTTGTCTCTGGCTCAGTCCCTGGACAATTCACCACACCGAGACCCACCCAGGCCCCCAACCTGCCTGTGTGCACACGGATCTCCCCTTCCCCCTCACCCACCCCTGCCCACTTGGGTCTCCCTCTGCTCCACTGATGTGAACCCATCTTGCCTTTCAAGGGCCAGCCTCAGGTCTGCCTCTGCTCTGAGGCCTGCCCAGGCCCATCCAGGCTTTCTGCTGTCTCCCACCCTGAATCTGGGCAGCAGTGACAGTCACTAGTAAGGCTTACTGTACCTTACTTTCTCTCCCAGCTTGAATTTTACATTCCGGGGGGAGGGGGGGGAATTAGATTTCATCTCTAGCTCTCTCTGTGGTGTCTGATACCTAGCAGGTACCCAATTAAGTGACCAATAGAAATCCAGCATCCCCAAATACCTGAGAGAGGATGGCTTGGTGACTTGAAATCCTATATTTTTATTTTAAAAGTAATATGATAACTATAGCAGACAGAGATTGAGTTTGAACTGTGTGTTGCCCTCATGGGCATCATCTCAGGACAAACTCTCCCCATGATTCTACAAGTATTGTCATTATCCCCATTTAACATATGGGGAAACTGAGTCTCAGAGAACTGAGCTACTTGTCCCATATCATACAGCTAGTAAGCGGTAACATGGGAGTTGGAACCCAGGCACGTCTGCCATCTCATTTCCTATTAAACTTGTCACTGACATGCTTATCAGGGGAGCTTCCGGCTGATTGATTTTAAAGACCAAGGAACACCGGTGACCGGCCAAAGGGCATGAGTCAGCTTGGATATTTTGGACCCATTCTCTGCCAGTGGGGCTCCCAGTGCCTCCATAGGGGGGTCCTTATTAGACTGTACTCAGGGCTGAGGAGATACTCACCTACCCCAAAGCCAAAAAGAAAGTCAGGGCACATGGATTTCCCCAAATAAGACACCTCTGGGGCTCTGTAGAGAGTGAGGTACTTTTTCTATTAAATGAAGGTAGAGCGGTCGTTCAGGAAATGTGAGCTGGCAAGCGGGCTTTAGAATTTAAGCCTGCCCTTCTGGCTGCCCATCATTACGTAGATGGCCCTGACATTTCTACTTTCAGAGGGTAGCTTGCAGGATTTGGAAAGCAACCAAATTCTGATCTCAAAGGAATCCAAAATCTTGAGAAAATGGTAAGTATTTTTTGTACTGCCTGTGCCTCGAGCATCCAACCACTGGCCTCTTGTCTGATGCTGTCACCTGTGGGGCCCGTGAGGTGCTTGCTTTGAGGGTATGTGGTTTCCTTGACGCACACCGACCTATTCATACGGGTTAGCATCTTCTCAAGAGCAGAGCCTGCTTGACTAATTTCATTAATCGTCCCAAGGTCCCATGGGAGGGTCGGAGCGAGAGTGTTCTCACAACTGAGGCACGGTGAGACTGAGTCCAGTCCCAGGTTACACAGGGGTTACACAGAGTCCAGACTGGGGCTAGCAGAGCTCTGAGGTCTCAGGGTCCAAGCCTACTCACTTCTCAAGTTTATTGTAGAAAACAGTTAAAGACAAAAGAATCATATAGGCTAAGTAAAATTCTCTGGCTAAGTCTTTAAGAGGAAAAGCACTGTTAGACCCAACAGAAATGAAACTATACGTTCGCACAAAAACTACACAGATCTGTACACAAACGTTCATGGCAGCATTATTCATCATAGCCCAAACAGGGAAACAAGCCACACGGCCACAAGCTGGAGAATGGGTACCTAAGATGTGGCATCTCCGGACAATGAGATATTACTCAGGATATTACTTCAAGGAACCTCGGAGACATTATGTTTTTTAAGGGAAAAAAGCCCATACTGTATGACGCCATTTCAGACAGAAAGCAGACAAGCGGTTGCCTAGGCCTGGCAGGAGGTGGGGGGATGGGGAGTGATTGCTACTGTGTATGGGGTTGCTTCTACAGGATGACAAAAATGTTCTAAAATTAGTGGTGATGGTTGCACAATCATGTGAATACACTGAAACCATTTGACTGTTTACTTTAAATGGGTGAACTGTATGGTATGTGAATTCTATCTCAAACTTGTTTCAAAACCCAAACCATGGTTAATGAAATAATGAACCCAGTGACAGGGCTTCCCTGAAGGATGTGGTCTCACCCGTGGGCTCTGATCAGCTCGGGTCTTCTCCTGCAGAGCTCGGCCAAGACAATCCGAGGGGCAGGGATACAGATGGAAAAGACTGGATCCTTTGATTTCTCCACAGAGAGACTACACGAGGAGGAGTTCTGACGGCCTCTTTCCCGTGTGGATTACTTACAATTTTATGGAATCGATCTCACTATTCTGTTTTCATTTCTGGGTTTCAAGTCAGGCTTCAAAAAGCATTCTCCGTTCTAAGATTATAAATTTTATAGAACTTAACTAATGTTTTCATCTAAGGTTTGTCTTCTTACATTTAAATACTCAACCAAGGATCCAGGTTGTTTTTGTTTGTTTTGCCAAACAGATAGCCAGTTATTAAATCAGGAGTTTTAAATTTGGGGTTACGATGGACTTGGGGTATCTTGTAACTTCCAGGAATATAAAAAAAATGTGAGTGTGTGTGTGTGTATGTGTGTCTGTTCATTTTGGGGGGGAAAAGGGTTATAGATCTTGTCACATTCTCAGGGGTTTTGTGACTCACAGAAAAAAACCACTGAACTCTACATTTCATAACCTGGGGTCCAGGTGGACTGTGCACGTATATTCCAGTGCACGAGGCTGAATCCAAGCCAAGAGGACAATTATTAAACAATTACAGGGGAGGCCTGAGCAATTACTTCTGGGGAAAGTTCTCTGTCACACGTCTAGTGAGAGTTGTACCACCTTTTGGTTTGACGGCTTACTGAGGCAGAGAACAAGAAGTAACTCTCACGGGCTCTCCCTGGGCCTAGAAAACTTTAGGTTTTTATTCATCTGCTGACAGATCAGTGGAGCTAAATCATTTTAGCTGACAAAACTTGGGGCCTTCTGTCACAAAGAATTTGAGGAGGCTCATGGTCCTCAATATAAATGAATGATCAAGTGGAAATGAAACTTCCATGACAAAGAAGGTGGCAGACCCTTGTGTGTGTGTGTGTGTGTGTGTGTGTGTGTGTGTGTGTGTGTGTGTAGACTCATATATTCATGTACTAAATAGATATGTAACACCCAATGCATGCCAGGCATGGTCTAGACTGGGCTCCTCAAAGTGTGGTCCCCGGACCAGCAGTTTCACCATCACCTGGGTACTTGTTAGATGTGCAAATTTCCAGGTCCACCCCAGACCTCCTGAATTAGAAGCTTTGGAGTCAGGGCCCAGCAATCTGTGTCTTAATAAACGCTCCAGGCGATTCTGATGCACATCCATGTTTGAGAACCACTGGTCTAGAGACATCTAGGGATGTAATGGTGAAAAGACAGATGAAATCCCTGCTTTCCTCATGGAGTTGACATTCCAATGTGTGTGGTAGGGGAGGCAGGAAACAAACAAGTAAACAAATAACTGAAGATGACAATGTTCCGATGGCAGTATGGTCTATGAAGGAAAAGAAAGCAGGGGGATATGAAAGACAGTGATGGGGGCTGATTTAGAGCCAGTGGCCAGGAAAGAGGCAATCTGAAATGAAATAAGAATGATAAGCTATAGCTGGCCGGGCAAAGAGGGGCAGAAAATAAATGTGTACACTTTAGGTAGAGGGAATAGCAGATGCAAAGGTCCTGAGGCAGGACTGTATTTGGCCTAGATGAGTATTATGACTGGAACAAGTGAGCAAGGAGTTCATAGCAGGTGGAATTAGGGAAGCAGGTGGAGGGAGCAAGCTTAGCTTTTGTTCTTAGAATAAGTCAAAGGCAACGGACAGTTTTGAACAAATAGGGACATGATCTGATTTACCTTTCAGCAGGATCCCTCTGGAATGAACTATAAAGGGTTAGGGTAGAAGCAGGAAAATCAGCTAGGAGGATATTCCAATAACCCAGGAAAATGGTGCTTGGATGGACTAGACCAATGTGCAAAGATCTATTATTAAGGGAAATCCAAACAACAACGCAGGACACTGGGCCTAGTAAATTGTTTTTGAGCATATACACATACAGATGGATGAAACCATTTCCCCCCAAAGTTTCCACAAAAACTCCCCAGTTTCTCCTCTGGGGAGAGGAGATTAGTGAGGGTCATTTTAGAGCCTTCTGTATGTCATGCATTTTGGTCACATGTGTGAAGCATTACTTTTATGTAAAGATAAAATATTTTAAAATAAAAATTGAAAAACTGAGATCGAGGAAAACATAAAATAGAATAGGTGATGGGTGATCAATATCAGAGAGAGGAAGCCCACCTCACGTGGGTTAGAGTCCTTTCCGAGCACGGGCTTCTGGAGTCACTAGAGAGACAGGCCGACTATGGGCTGAGCTCCAGCTCTTGGATTATGACGGGATCAGGCTACTGCCCGCTTGAGAACCACCGGGCCCTGTTTCTGTCCTGCGGCTCTGATGATGTTTGTGGCTTTCAGGTCTCCTCGGGCAACTCATACAATTTCCTGTGAATGTCTGCTGCGTTTCTCTCTGCGCTGTTTGTCAAATCGCTCCCCTGACATCCTGGCAGTTGGTTCACCATGAGGCCAGCATGCCCTTCATTTAATTGCATGATTTGGCATAAACAGAAGGAAATACTTTGCCAGGAAAGAGAGTATAATGCAGCATCTGATTTCTCCTGTCAGCTGATTAGGATTTGTCGTGTCCCAACAAGGTCAAATGAAATTAGAAAGAAAATGCAGTGTGTCTGGTGTGTTTCAAATAACTGCATCATTTATGTAAACAGGACAAACGAAGGGGAAGTTTTAAAGCAAATATTGATTATCGACCTCAAGATTCAAGGCAAAAGAGGCCATTGCTTGTAGGTTATGCCTGGAGAGGAAGAATATTTATTGGGGGGCATTTTGAATTCTGCCGATTCTGTCATGCTCTGGGGTTCTGCTGTCATGTTGGTGAAACCAACCAGGGACGCCTGATTTTCAGAGGCACCGAGCACAGAATAAGTAAAAGCACAGCAATGCTGCATTCTACCTTTATCACCCTGCTACGCCTCCTAGAAGAGGTTTAGAGCCACTTTCTCTACGAGCAACCGCTCAAGGGCTCCACTGTGAGTCAATCTCTTAGGATGCAGAAGGAAAAATCTCACCTCTGGAACCAGCCACAACATTTTAGGTGTGGATGACTCTGGCCACAGCCACACCTCTGCGGATAAACCTACCAGGCTTCTCCTAGGGTTTCTGTGGGTCCTGCAAATTGTCATGTTCTTCTCCCAGACCCACCCTCTACAGGTTGTAACCACCGCAGAAATGAGACTACTTTTAAAAGTAGTCTAGGAGCTTTGAGGGAAGAGACGGGTTTTGTTACATGGTCTGTAGAGGATCTGGTGTCTTGTGGATGCTTAATGAGCAGCCCCACCAGCTATTATTTGCATGAACTATTTCCTGGCCCAGAGCTGGAAGGCTATTCGGAGGCCAGACTTTCAGGCAAGGCAACCCCCAAGTCCCTTCCCGTGCTAAATAACAGGCCAGAAAGCATTAACATGATCATGTCTCCTGAGTCAGAACATCCGAATGCGTATTATTTAAAAGATAAATTGAGATGCTTGACATGAAAGTTGAAGTAAATGTGAAATTTGTGGGATGTTAAGATGACATTTTTGAAAATTCGATATTGAGGGGAATTCTATTATAGTAAATACTTTAAGGAACTGAGGATTCATTAATTCCCATTATTTGGACAGTAACATTGCTGAATACCAGATATGCAGTAAAGAAATTAGTTTATATCAGTAGCTAGGGATTATTTTGTCTAAAAGCTGTGTAGGTTTGTTTTTTTTTTAACATCATTTCACAACTGGATGTCGTGGAGTGACTTACAGGTGTGATACCTGTTTTCGAGGTGCTCTCACACACTTCGGCGCACTGGATCATCACAACACGGCTGTCACCTTGCAGGGAAGATGCAGGTAGCAGAGCCTCATTCATCTCCTTTAGGAAGGAGAGACCAGGGAGCCCCGAGGAGCTGAGCTGCCCAGGAAGGGCCAACCACACCATGTGGGCAGGTTCAAGGGCATGACCCTGAGCTAGGGACACCTGCTTTTAGTCACAGCGAGGGCTTTAATTAGGGGTACAGCCTGGGTAAGACTCTGAGCTGCATCTCTGTCCTCAGAATTTTTGGTCTGCTATTTAATGGGCTTAATTTCCTAACAGAGTGTTCTTTAACTTTAAAATCCATCATTCCATGTACTGGAAGGTTAACATGCACACTGGATGTAGCACAATACTTCTCCAATACTGAGAAGATGATTGCCTGCAATATTGTTATCTCTCTGTGCTTCAGAAGGCCCTTTGGCAATGTTCAGATCCTCAGGAAGATTATTATTTTTTAAAGCCAATTATGAGTGCCTTTGAATACGTGCACATGGCAGTTCATGGAGGTTCCAGGTAATAAAATTTGGTGAAAATGACTTTTTCTGTACTTTTTAAGTCCCTTTCAGGAGAGCTGCGGCTCACCCATTATTAGAGTTAAGTGATGTGTGTGCTTCTAGGTCTCTGTCCCAGAGGATGAGCTTCTCTGAGACTCATCCCCTCAGAAGGCACAAATATGGCTCCGTGGATGCTACCTTCAGACGCATCAGAAGCTACCTGCTGCGTTTGGAGACCGGGCTTCCACCTCCACCTTCCAAGGGGAAGTGGAGAACAGAGAGCCTATTTCTAGTTCTCACAGGTCCACCTGTACCTGTCTATCTGAATCATCAGGTGGGTAGGCTTAGACACACACACACACACACACACACACACACACACACACACACACACACACTCACCCCTCCCAGGCTCAGATGCCTACCTAAGGAGGAGGGACTTTCATCCATCATAGGAAACTATTAATCATGTTTCCATTTAGTCTCTTCAAAGATACCTCCTGATCTGTATCTTCTTAATCCAATTTCCAGCTTCACTCCCTACCTTCTAGCGAGGCAGCTTCCTCCCTTCCCTCACTCTGTCCTGGCCAGTGGCATGAAGATGATGCCCAAGGTCCTTAAACGAAATCCCTGCCCCTGGAGCTGGGCTCACCTGAGGATTTGTTCGCCTAGCTCAGCAGTGACAGGCTCGACCACGGGTAAAGAATGACAGAAACGCTCGCTCTGCAGCCCCTTCCAGCCCTAGCCTGATGGCCATTGCCTCGAGTGGCTTTGCAACATGCCCTTTGCAAGGCGTGGCTCTAGGAATGGCACAGACAGACAGACACACACACACACACTCTGCCACACACAGACACCAACACCCTGTGTAGAGATGCCAGATGACAGAACAGAAAAGGACTCTTTCATCCAGCAGCCTTCTGATTCCAGAGGAGCGTCTCTGAGCCACGACCTGCTGTTTCCCTGACGACTGAGACTTCCAAATAAACAGGATTCTGCTCAGACAGGCCAGTAGTCCATTCGGCTCAGCCATTTGCCCCAAGACAAACCACGCTAAAATAACACCCAGGACAGTTGCTGCCGCTGTCTCTGCCTCCCTTCCTGGCCGGCCAATAGCTCTGCATTCCTGGGCCTGCAGCTGGAGTCAGAGCTGGGGGCACGCAGAGCTTTGTGTATGTCCCTGTGGGTGGGGTCCGCGTGGGCTGTTGTCTAAAGGCAGGTCCCCTTTGCTGACCAACAAGGCCAGCTAGAGACCCAGAGGCTGACATTCTTGGCCTCCCAACCTGCCTCCCCGCTTCCCACACAGCCCCGCGGGACTGGTAGCCGGCTCTGTGGCATGGTGTCTGGAGGCGGACCAGCAACCTGATGTGCATGCCACGGCCCGTCCCCTCTCCCCACACAGAGCTGCAGCAACTGAGAAGTCCAGAGAGCCGGCGTGGGGCTGCTGGGGAAGCAGCGGCAGCACAGTGACCGCGACACAGAGCAGACGACACCCGGCCGATTCCCCTTCCCCTTGGACAAAGAGGCACAGTCCTCAGCCTGCAAGTTTTTCAGGTAAGAATCTGAGTATTTGTTCTAGGGAACAAAGAGCAGCTTATATGCAGAGCTGAGGGGCTGTGTATGTGTGTGTGTGCACGCGGGTGTCCCAGTGCAAGGACAACAATGACGCGGAGATGGAAAAAAACTCGGGAAAAGTTAAGGCAGTAGGATGTTTGAAGCAGATCCCACTGGAACCAGCTGTCCTGCAAGGGCACCCAGAAGCTCCCCTCTGGCTGGGTTTGAACCATGCTGCAGACTGCTCTGGGGGAAGGGCTTGCTGATGGCACAGGCAGGTAAAAACAGCACCTAGAGTTTAGAGACTGTAAAAGTAATCATGTATCATGCTGCCCAGCACCTTCCTCCCTGCACTGCCAGGCTGGTGAGGACTGGAGGGGGCAGAATGTTCTCATTTACTAAAGTGCTGGTGTGGCCCTTTTGGTTCGGCAGGAGCCAAAATCTGTGTGGCTTTCGTGAGTCTGGCTGGCACACTCACTGTCTTGGGGAGCCTGGACGTTCAGCTGCCTCAGGAAGTCTGTTCACTGGGTGGGCACCTGAGATTTTATCAACATTTAGGTATGAAAGTCAGGCTGAAATATAGGATTAGCAGAATGCGAGAAGATAGGCTGGTATTCTGACGGCCCTCCCAGCCACCTGGATTATTCCTTACCTTCCTTCTGATCTTCTCAGAAAATCACATCCTCCTCTCCGTACCCTTGCAGACAGGCACCGCAGAGAAGGTGTGCGAATGGCTAGCCACACCCACGTCACGATTATATGCCCAAAGTATTCAAGGCTTCTAGAGAGGAGCACTTGACAAATTCAGACATCCAGGTCTGGGGTAGAATTCAGGCATTCAATCAAGTACCCATTTTTCAGAGACCCCAGAGGAACCCACCTCATCTGGGCACTCGGGTCCAAGAGCTCCCTCCGTGACTCGGCAGAATGTAAACACTCTGTGCTTTCTCCAGCTGTTTCAATCCACCCCCACTTTTCTGCATTCTTTTCTGCTTGGGCACTTTCCCTTTCATTCCCTACAGGGATGTGATTGTTTATGACTTAGCTCTGCGAACACCAGTGGGAGATGCAAGCATCTGGCAGAGGACGAGCCACGCACTGCGTGGGGCTGAGCCAGCCTGAGGCGGGCAGAGGGTTGAAAAGAAATGAGCCTAGCATTGCAAAGTGGTGTCCAGTGAGGCACTATCTGGGTGAATGAGTGTGGATTTTGGTGGAGACTGTGATTCACAGTCACAAATTCCTTTTTCCTTTGTTTTCCTTGTGTTGGTCATTGAGGGCTTCTGAGGAAAGTCCCCTTTTGAGTTGTATATCTGAAGGCAAGATCATCAACTTGCTGCCGAGGGCGGCTGGCGCATGCTGGAGACTTTCTTCTGTTGACCCTGCCTTTTTTAGTATGAGTAAATGAATTGGCAAGTGAGGTACTTAATCAAGAGCGAAGTTAATGCACAAAAAATTAAGACAGGAAACATGGAGATTCTTGTAAACTGCCTCCCAAATCTGGTGTGCAGACATACATATATGGCTTTTGCCTGGTTGCAAAAAGGATTTAAGGAGGCACTATCTGCTTCGTTTGGTGGTGTGACGTCACAGGCCAGGAGCATCAACCATGATGACTGTATTTGCAGTGGTGACGGTAGAGGGACATCATACACTCCTCTACCCTTAGTGAAGGGATGCCTGATCCCAGGACAGGGGGTGTGCTCACTGACTCTGCTGACATGCATTCTGTGGCCCCTGCGTCAACTATGGAAGATCATGGTGCTACCAGGCCTGCTGTACCAGCTTCTAGGAATCAGGGATGGTGCGGACCGGAAGGCACGCCCCTTCCACTCGATCAAATAGCTCTTGCTTGGCTAGTGCAATACTCCTTGATTTACACTACTAGAAAAATAATCTACAGTCACTGGTGCCACAGACATACCCTGTTTTAGATAAATCTAACACCTACACATGACACAAATTCCAGGCAAATGAGTTTTTTTCCTTAAAAAAGGATCCGCTAATCAGCAAATGTTCACTGGGTACTGCCCAGGTGTCCCACCTCAAGGTACCGCTGGATGAAGCCCACTCAACCACAGAGGAGGGAGGGCACCGACCTGGGTGCGCAGGTCACAGAGAATGGGCCTGGGCTGACAGGACATCCAACGCAGCTGGGAGGCAGAGTCCAAGGTATGCGGACAAGGACAAGCATCTGGACCAGTGGCCTAGAGGGAGAGAAGAAGAAGGAAGGGAACAGTAATTGTCTGATTCCTAAATATCACTACTTAAGAGAGGCAGCCTAACATAGTGACCAAGCGCATAGATTCTGCAGCTGAGCTCCCTGGAGTTCGAGTTCAGGCTGTGCCATTTATTAGTCCCAAGGCCTTCTGCCTCAGTTTCATCATCTGTAAAATGGGGGAATAACGTACCATCCTTGTTGGTGAAAGGATCAAATGAGTCATGCTCTTAGCACAGTGCCTGGCTTATAGTGAGTACTATGTGAGTATCTGCCATTGTTATTACTGAAAGGTGGGTCTGAAAAGGCTGTCCACAAGTCCATTTGTTCCAAAGTCCAAAGTGAGACTCCATGAGTGACCATTATGGCCACCTTTGGGGCAGCATGGAGGTGCTTTGGCTCTGGCATGGGTTTTGCTTTCATCTCGGAGCATTCAGAAATCGAAGCGCTTCTGTGTTGGTTGCTAGTGTTTCCTGAGCCCTTACTGTGTGCCAGGTACTCTGCCTGGCTTGACACACAGTTGCTCAAGACCACCTCTCTGACTCTGTCCGAGGAATGCTAGCGATGGGGGCAGGTGTGAGGAGCATGCCCGTCTTGCTCCAGGGCTGTGCAGATGTGGGTGGTCCTTCGGCCAAGACTCATCTCTGTCTCTTCAGGATCTGTGGTTTGCAAACTTTCACATGCATAAGAATCAGAGGGGAGCTTGTTTTAAAAATCAGGTAAATCCTGCACACAGAAGTCCTGATTTAGCCAGGTTCCCGAGGGTCCCAGATTCTGCATTTCCTGGGTGGGGCCCAGGTGATTCCGACTTTGGTCCATAGGCCACATCTGAAGTCTGACCATGACTCTGTTTCTTTTCTCTTCATTATTGTGAACAAGAACACAGAGTCATTTGGCCTCAGTGACCACCAGCTTCTTCCTGGTCCTCACCTTCTTCCGGAATGGCCATTTTCCTGGGACTCACCCCCCCCAATGGCAGTGAGGTGGACCACACACCACACCTCCTGCACCCTGAGTTATTACGTGCCCAGCACAGCGGCAAGCCCTTCATGCTTATCCCTCACTCAGTCTTCAGAGCCATCCCACTGGTCGGGAGCGGTCATTATCCACCTGTTACAAGGGAAGGGAAAGGCCCCACTGCTAGTGAGCGGCTAATCTGGGGTATGAATGCCGATTACCAGAGCAGTGGCATGTAACCTCTTGGCCAGGCGACAACTGGGGTTTTAGCTGCTTGTTAGGTCAGCCTTTCCCTTCTCACTCTTGGGTGTCTTTCTCTGGTTCACACTCCTCTCTTGTCTGCTTCCATTCCCCAGCTCCCACATACCTTCCTCAGAAGATGATGTGTCCCTGTGCTTCCCTACTTTTTTCTCCTTCAATAAATCAAAAAGGGTTGGAGCAATGGACAGGTGGAAGGCAGGCGTTACGAGTTGAACTATGTCCTCTCCTTAAATTCGCATGTTGAAGTCCTAACCCCCAGAATATCAGAACGTGACCTTATTTGGAGACGCCTTTACAGAGGAAATCAAATCTAAATGATGTCATTAGGGTGGGCCCTAATCCAGAATGACTGGCGTCCTTATAAAATGGGGAAATTGGGACACAGAGACACCTCTAGAGGGATGACGAAGAGATGAAGACACAGGGAAAAGACAGCCACCCCCAGGTCATGGACAGAGCCTGGAACAGATCCCTCCCTCACAGCCCTGGAAGGAGCTAGCAGCCATCTACAAGATGGAGCGAGGCCTGGGACAGCTCCTTCCCCCACCACTCTCAGAAGGAACCGGCCCTGCCGATACCGTGGTTTTGGACTTCAGGCCCCCAGGGCTATGAGGCGATACACTTCTGTTGTTTGAGACATGGTCTGTGGTACTTCCCGCGGGAGCCTAGCAGACGACTACAGTGGGAACCAGAGTCCTACATTCCCCCCGCAGGCCCTGAGTTTGGGGTGATCTAGTTGGAGGCCAACCCGTTATACCAAGCTATGACAGCGTTCTCTTTTCTTCAACTCGTGACTGTTCTTCTGTTGGCTTCAATGCTGTTCATGGGAGTCACAGGTAGGTCCAAGTCCCAGGAAGGAAGAAGGAATGAATAGCAAGGATGAGGAGGGAGGAAGGAAGGGAAAGTAAAGAAACAGAGAGGCAGGAAGAGGAAAAAGAGAGAGCGGGGACTGGAATGGGGGATACTTGAGGGACGCTCATGCCCACGGCAGGTCCAACCCACTTCCCTGTGGGAGGCCACCGGTGTGCCAGGGAGCATGTCGAACACTGGGGTACGACAGAGCCTGGAATGGATGGCCCCTACCTTCAGGAAAGCCGGAGGCCAGATAGGGACACAGACCTCGGTCACACAGTACTTTTCCTGAGCGTCTCGGGAAAGCAAATGCACTGCCCGACCCAGTCAGGGGGTCTGGAAAAGCTTTGGTGAGTTCGTGATGCCTGGGTTGAGATGTGGGGGACTGGCAAGGGTCCTCTGGGTGAGGGATGAGTGTTTCAGGTGGAGGGAGGCGTACTGCCAAGGTCACATGGGATGAGGAAGTGTGGCACCGCTAAGGAGTTGTGGAAAGGCCAGTGTGGCTGGAATGCAGGGAAGAAGAAAGAGGAGCTAGCCAGAGCTCAAGGCCCAGGACGGGGCTGGACCATGGCAGCTGTGCTGACGATTTAGGTTCTTCAAATGGGAACCACAGAAGGCCGGAGAAGGAAGCCATCCTGTATAGGGAAAACTTTCATCAGAGGGAATGCTGGGATAGAGATGCTGGCGGTGTGGTTTAGCAGCGGGTCCATCCTGA